GAGGACAGTCTACCTCGGTGACGTCGCTGTAGGAGAGTTGAAGGAGCCAATGACAAGTGACACTCGAAGATTTTAAAATAACTTTATTTGCTTTGCTTCCGAAAGTGGAAAGTCAAAGATTCGACTGCTCTTATAATTTTTGGCTCTGTAGAGTCTCGTGATATCTTGAAGATGTGACGTAGATTTTTGGGATCAAAAGAGCAAAGCGTCTGATGCTCTAGATATGTCGCTGGTGTAGTACAGATTTTATAATTCGAAAGAGCTAAGTGTCAAATGCGAAGAGAGTCGCTCTGCATGGGTTTTTATAACGGGATTCCTACTTTTTGGGCAATTGTCGCAGAGTGGGAGCAGGTTCCTTTTCGCAGGGCGGAGTCTCTGATGATTGGTTCCCCTCTTAAAATTGGATGCGTGCGCAGCTTTTCATCGGTAGAAGGGTGATGCGTGCGCAATTTTGCGTAGGCGTTTGAACGATGATTGCGTCCCCGTTTTTGGGTCTTGAGGTGGTGGGGGAAGTAGAGTAGCCAATCAGGAAGTAGCAAAAATTCTGATGCAACCGGATGCGGTGAGTCATCGATGAGTCACTTTTGGCAACAATTCTTCTGATACTTGATATTTTTCTTGAAGGTTATCAGTGACATTCGATATTTTTTCGTATAATTTATGTGACAGGTGTCCTTCGATTAAAATAGATTTGCGTCGCCGAATTGTCGCACCGGCTTATCTTTAAATTATTATAAATTATTTAACTGATGAGCTCATGGTCGAATCTTTGTTATAAACAATATGAATATGCGTATTTAGTAACGCATATATAGTATATGTAGACGGCTAAATAAAAGTATCTATAGTATGTGTACGTATAAGAAATATGTTTTACCAACAAGACTTCAAAATTTGTAAGAATAATGGAATTTAACATTTGGACCTCCCTGTAGATTAGGGAGTCGAAAATATATGGAATTATGTAAAAACATGTGTAAATATTCGGCTGTGGTCCTCAAAATTTGGGTTTAGAGATTTATAATGTATCAGGATAGTATATTCTCATAAGAGGTATACGTCGGTAAGTCGGTAAGTTAGTATGTCGGTAACTTCTGAATTTAAATAAAATTAAAGTATTAGGATAGCATGTATATGAAAGAGGCATGCTCCTAGTGAAAGAATATATATAAATATATATATATTTGTTGGTTAATATCTTTAAAATTAAAGTTTTAAAATTTTAAAGTATCAGGGTAGCATATTCATAAAAGAGGTATGCTCCTGGTAGAACGTCGGTAACTGGTGGGTCGGTAAGTCGTTGGGTTGGTAAGTTACCATAAGTCGGTAAGGTAGTAAGGTGTCGGTAACAAAAAGTCGGTATGTTACCATAGGTAGGTAAGGTAGAAAAGTGTCGGTAACAAAAAGTCGGTAAAGTAGAAATCTGTTTTATCATCAGTCGGTAAGGTAGGAATTTCCTATATTATCATTTATCCTTGGTCGGTAAAGTAGGAATTGACTTTACCATCCCATGTAGAAAGGGTTGAAGTCTTGCAGGCTCTTTAAAAGTATAAGAGGTTACTATTCTGTAGGCGCTGCTTATACTGTATTAAAGGTATAAGTTTTTAGGCGTTTGTATATACGATATAGAGTCTGTAGGCGCTTTAAGAGTATAAACGGCTGCGGTTTTGCAGGCGCTTAATAGAAGGAAGATCAATAAGGCTATTTAATATGAATCATAATGCTTTTCTAGGCGAAAGAATATTGTAATTGCAGTAATTAGAGTGAATTATTTGTATTATAGCGTTTTTGATCCCCTTATAAGAGCTGAAAATAATATAAGATTAGTATTAAAGTATTTAATATAGAATTTTACTGTATGTATATATGATCAACGTTATATAGGCGCATTGAGAGTAAATAGTGTTGAAGTTTTATAGGCGCGTTTCATCTCTTAAGCCATGCAGGCTTATTGCAATTTATATTTTATAAAAAATAAGGCAAGAAGATCAATGTGCTATTTACTATAGAGTTTTAATATGAATTTAAAGAATCTTTTGCACATGTAATGTGGGTTCATTATATAGAATAATTAAATATAACTGAGTTTTCTTTATATAAAGAGTGAATGAAGTATTTTTAGAAATATTCTCTTTGTATGAATAATACAGCATTTTGATCTTCTATAATTTTATATTATTATTCGATTATATAATAGCAAAAAAACTAACTCGAGAGAGTATATAAGTAGTAATGTAATGTGATGATATATTGATTATATATTTAAAATAAATTTTTGTAGCGGGACGTAACACCTCCCCCCGAAAAAAAGACAAAATCCGATATTTTTGAAGGATTTTGGTCAGGGAGTTTTAATCGGTTTCCTCTATAGTACTCAAGCGGTCTCTTAACGTAGAATATTGAGAGTTAATATTTACGTTTTCTGGATCCGGATGGCAAGGTTTCGTTTTCCTTGGCGGTTTAGATGGTGGGGGTTGTTGAGTAATAACTTCTGGAGGTGCTGTTGGTTCCCCGTCAGTGACTGGTTCACAGTGATTTTCAAGTTTCTTCTTCTTCTTCTCGGGTTCACGAGCAAGATGAAGTAGTAGATTTGCAAGGGAGCTCCATAGTGCTCCGAATAAGTGTAGGCTGCATCCATAGACCATGTGTAAGGCGTATCCATGGATGATCATGTCAATGATTAATTTGACAAGACGGATGATCATGAAGATTCCTACGAGTCCAGCGGTAGCCGAACCAAAATTGATGAATCCCTGCCATATGCGGGATGCTGTACTCTCGACAATTTTATTCAGAGAGTCTTCGTCTAGTAAATTATATACGGATATTCCTTCAGTGTTCATGGAATGTCCGGTGAGTCCACGAGCTACTGCATTGAGCAGTGCAGGTTTCTCTGCTGGAAACATGATATGGTTTCGCAGTTTTTCTAAATCACTAGCAGAATAGATTCCGCTTACTGCTAGCGGTCCTGGAGTAAGGTATCTCCATGTTAAGGCTGCCATAGGCTTCAATTGCTGGGGAGGCAGTTGTCTCACTTGTATAGCAGGTGTAAGTTGGATCCATGTATCCTCAATTCTATACAAGGTCGGTAATTCATTACTGCACTCCTTTTCATTACCTATTTTGGTAATTATTCTTGATTTAGGTGTAAGAAAATAAGAATTATTGTGAACTGTAACGGGAAGTTCCGTGTAACATCTGTCGGTTCTTCTTACAGTGACTTCCACTGGAACACACTTGATTATTTGTACGGCTTCTCCAGTGGTAACTGCCATGTAACCAGGTCCTTTCATTAGACGGTAGGCAAATTCCTCTGGTTGTGTAGTAGCGAAGGACAAGGCATTAGTGATTACTTGTCTTTCGAGAACGCATTTTTGCTGTATCACATTGTGATATAGAGAAGTCATTTGCTGTTTAATATGTTTCTCTATGTATACGAATTTTGAATTCATATACGTGAAGATGTCGAGATTATTTACTGGAATAGTTCCTCGACTAACAAAGGTATCGCCTTTATTTGCTTCTAAGATGAAAAGCTTTGGGTGTTCAGTACACAAGAGAGTATATCCACATAATGGTAATTCTTTTGTCTTCATGAGAGCGAAAGTAATTTCCTGAGTTACCAAGCTATAAATAGTTGGTGTTGCTGTAGTGGAATGATTTTCGGCGATTTTAGTAGCTGGTCCTTCGTAGAGGACGTCATATTGATGAAAATTGCAGGAAGTTGTGGGTATGGATTTCCAATAAGAATATCCATTATCAGCATCTAAACAAAAGGTATCAGCGAGATCGCAGACTGTGCCAGATTTTAATCTGATTTTTCCAGTATTCAATTGCACAGGTACGTATGAAGATCTCAGTGATATTTTGGCAACTGCTTGAACGACGACGTCGTCCCAAGTTCCAAAAGGGTCGGAATATTGCGTTCCCTTACAATATCCGTCTACTTGTATTCGTCCAGCCATAGTAATACTACGGTAGGTCGTTTGATTAGCCTTTAATCCTGTGACGAGATGATGATCTCCTAAGGTAATGGTTCCATCTTGAAACATTCTCAAGCATTGAGAATAATCGGTTTCGTGTACATAATCGGCCTTTCCGTTATGAACAATAGAAATGTGCGAATGCATTCCGCAATGGTAAATGCTTCTTGATATTTCAACTTTACATTGAATAACTTCTGTGTAGCTGTAGTCAGATAATTGCAATAATTGTATATAGACTTCGGTGGTGTTGGGGGTGCTTATGTCTAAGTCGCATTCTCCAACATCAAGTAATGAGACAGCTGTGATATTGAGGTGTTGTCCGCCACAATCAAATCCAATTAGGCCAGACGCTTCGCTTATTATGATTAATAAGAGTAAGATCGTCATGGTCTGAAATAATTATGTGTAATTAATATAATTATATATATATTCTATTTTGCTACATGAGATTATAATAATGATTGTGGTGATAACATAATATTTTATATCAACTAACGATTACATTTTCCTTTCTTTTTTCGTTATGTATGCTTTGAGGATACACATATATATATTTTGTATATAAGAGAGTGGATTATTTCAAAATATCCATTAACATGTGTTCATTTTATATATGCTTGTGTTACGTTTTGAGATTTCGTTGTTACGTCTCGATCGTAACTTCTCACGTATTTATTTGTTACGCAATTGTAACTTCTCTCTATTTCTTTTTCAGGGCAACCTGCCAAGCCGGCTATACCCTAGGACGCCGAGAGACTAAGAATCTTTTGCGCTTCTTTCAGGAGAGGGATTGACGATGGGAAATAGATTAGGTGCGTTGAACCTGACCCAATTTATCCTTTTTTGATCTGTTTCTTTTTATTAGTTTTCTTCCTTAGAGCTTTACAAATTCTTTATTATTGTTGTTATTGTTATTATTTGACAGTTGTAGATAGTGTATATCGTTATACGTATAGATGTGTGTATGTAGTTAATGTTCTTCTCTATAGCATTTCTAAGGCGATATCTAGATATGGTTATTATTCGCGGTTGTTGAAGAAATTATCTCGCTGCAAGTATTCGTAGATCTCGATAAAATCTTCGTCTGTTAGTCCTGCGAGGGGTTGGATACTGCTTGGTAAGACTAGGTCCTCTGGTTCCGGGTAGAAATTTGGTTCAGGGGGATCCAGAACTTGACCTGGGTTGGATGGACCAGCCTCAGTTTCTGTGCTTTGTTCTATGGGTCTTCGTTCTTCCGGTATGGAAGGAAGATCTTCCGGTGTCCTGACCGGCGAGTAGCTGGGATTAGATGAATCCTGGATGGGGGAGTAATTGGGCGATGGCGGCCTGGCTCTGGGCTGTTGTTCCTCTTGAAGAACCGCTGGAGGGTTTCGGGGAGGACGATAAGGGTATGCGCGGGAGGGCGCGAAACTACGCACTGGAGAGTACCTTGTTACTCTGCTTGTTAAGTCGTTCTCGTCGGCAAACAACTGACGAGCTGTAGGGAGCCTAAGTACCGACCGGGAGGCACGCCTGCGGCGTATACCCGCGGCACGGAGGGGAATTTCGCGTCCAACGGAAGAAGTTCGGCGGGGGTTAACCATCTACCGAGGGAATACGACTATTTAGTATGTTTGATGCGATTGATTTAACACAAAAGGGGTTTACTTACGATGATGCGTAGAAAGGTACCTGTTAAGATGAATGGTTTTATAAGGTAAATGTAGTCACAGCAAGGTGGTTCATAGAGTTAAGACGAATAATACGGCTTAACGGATTATTATGAGATAAACGAATGTAGATTATGATAGTATATCTCACTCGTTCTCATATCATGGTTGAAACGTTCGGCTATATACTGTTCATTGGGGTACAGCAATTAATGATTTATTTAATATATTTTGAATTTTTTTCAGGGGCATGCGGTTGCACCGCGAGGTCCGGAGATTCAGGGGGTACAGACAAGGGTACGGGTAAGAGCGGCTGGCTTACTTCAGATAAGTATAAAATTCATAAAATGTTTTGATAGTTAACTTGTAAGCCAGTGCATAAATTCTATTATTTCGACAGATCCTCTAGGAGCGAGTCTTAGATTCTGAGTCTAGTATCGATGTGCAAGACGTCACGTCACAGCGGCACAGGATCCACGGAGAAATTCTTGCAAAGAAGCTCTCCGTGAAAGCGGCAGAGGAGTAGAATTTGCTACTCAATGCACATCGAGTGACTAACTCGAACGACGCTACACTCTAGGATACGCTTCGAGCGTTCTCAGAGGGTCGGTTGAAATTTAAATCATTCAACTCGAAAGAAAAATTTAAAGTCTGTATACGGACAGGTAAGATTCTGGGAAAATTGTCAATATATTTAGAATAAATCAACCTAATATACGAAGTTATTATCAAGGTTGATTAAGAATGATTATTATTTTATCATTTCCTTACCGGATGACGGGATCAATGGAAGAATAAAGGCACCGCTGCTCCTTCCCTGGATTGCTCGACCTCGGTGAGAACCTGAAGAAGTGGCAAGGCAGCGCAGAGAATGGCCAAAGAGTCAGAGGTTGCTGGATGGTAGCACTTTATTAAAGTGTTAATGTTGATACAGCTCTCTTAATAGAGATTGAGACTAAGTCCCGAAAGAAAAAATCAAAATCGCGACTAAGTTATTTTCGAATAAGTTAAGGTGTCCGGTAGGCTTCTAGGTTTTTCCTCTTCGAGAGCTGGAGATCTGATGGGCGTAGAGAGAGCTGAGACACAGGCGAGTTAATGGCGCAGAGACACACAAGACACACCGGCGGCGGCGGCGGCGGCCTTATATACCTTCCTCTGGTTCGATGTTTAATGGTAGGGAGAAGAGGTGGGCCTTTTTGGTGATTGGTGGGTCGGCTGCTGGAGCTATCCCTTCCTGCTATGAGTTTGCGGTGTGGTGGGTGAGAGTTTTGTGGTAGGGATTGCAAGTCTTGCGTCTTAGATTTATTAAATAATTTTAGAATAATTTTTAATAATGATTTTTAACAATCAGAATTTTTTTATAATATCGTATTTATGCTATTAGAGAATTTGAGTTCGATTTATAACAATTGTTTAAATTTTAAGTGATATTTTGGTAAATTCTGATGTATTAAACCATTATTATTACAATGATTTTTACAATGGTGCGTATATAGTTAAAATTAATAATTAGTGATTAATTAATATTTAGTAAATTAATAATCAGTAATAATTAGTAAAGAAAAATTTAGCATTTGGATTGCAGATTCTAACGCAACGGATGCGAAGATGGCTTATCTCTTTTTCTAAAAATAGATATGCTGGATGTCCTTCGAAGAATGCTCACTGCATTCTTTCTCTTTATAAGACACATTAGTAACAGTAATATTTTTTTTAATGAATTACCTTTTAAAATTCGTTTACGTGGTTTAAATTGGCATATTACACGTATTATTTTCAGGTTTAATAATTATCTTAGGACTAATTATTAAGATCTATCATTTACAAGATATATTTTTATTTATTTAATAAAGGCTTTAACAATTAGAATTTTGGTGGTTTTATATGTATATATTTTAAAATTTTCAAAGTCGACTTTTAATGATTACTCAAGTCTATGAATAATATTTTAATAAATTCTAATGCGTTAAGCCATTATTATTACAATAAATTTTACAATAAGAATATATGGAAATTAATTATCGCTTCGCTTAATAGTTATTATGTCGCTAAAAAAAATTTTATTCTTACAGTTCTCGGAACAACGTATGAAAAAGCGGCTCGTTTTACTTCTAAGAATGATCACGACGGATGTGCTCGAAGAATTCATTGCACGCTCTACCGTGATCTTTTATTCAAGAGGTCTTTTGATTCTGACAATATTTTATTCTTTGAAGATTTTCATTTGGGCGACTTTTATATTAGCACATATATATATATATATATATATGTATAGATATGTATTCGCATATTGCTTATGAAAATTGATTTCAGCAAGTTTTTACTGAATCGTATTTAATAATCATCGTATAAGATTAATAATTATTGTATAAAATCTTGGGTTATTAATATTAATTATTTGTTAATATTCGTAATATATATATATATATATGTTTTGTGTGCTGATTAATTTTGTCGCGGTAGCAGTCTATTATATCTCCTCCTTTGTTTTATTGTTAAATTTGTTACAAAATGTATATGCATATAGCATGCATATACATATAGGGATATTGTTGGACAAGTTAATATATATATGTGTCAATTTCTATCGCGACGCGTATTTATTGTATTTATACCTTTATTTTATTGAGTTTTGTTATAAAATATATATGCGTATATGTAAATTTATTCAATTTATATATTACGTATAGTATGCATATATATAGGGAGATTTCTGGACATGTTAATATATATATGTGTCAATTTCTATCGCGACGCGTATTTATTGTATTTATACCGTTATTTTATTGAGTTTGGTTATAAAATATATATGTGTATATGTAAATTTAGTCAATTTGTATGTTACATATAGTATGCGTATGTATAGGGATAATTTTGGACAAGTTAAGATATATATTTGTAAATTTCCATCGCAACGCTTATTTATTGTATTTATACCTTTATTTTATTGAGTTTTGTTATAAAATATATATGCGTATATGTAAATTTATTCAATTTATATATTACGTATAGTATGCATATATATAGGGAGATTTCTGGACATGTTAATATATATATGTGTCAATTTCTATCGCGACGCGTATTTATTGTATTTATACCGTTATTTTATTGAGTTTGGTTATAAAATATATATGTGTATATGTAAATTTAGTCAATTTGTATGTTACATATAGTATGCGTATGTATAGGGATAATTTTGGACAAGTTAAGATATATATTTGTAAATTTCCATCGCAACGCTTATTTATTGTATTTATACCTTTATTTTATTGAGTTTTGTTATAAAATATATATGCGTATATGTAAATTTATTCAATTTATATATTACGTATAGTATGCATATATATAGGGAGATTTCTGGACATGTTAATATATATATGTGTCAATTTCTATCGCGACGCGTATTTATTGTATTTATACCGTTATTTTATTGAGTTTGGTTATAAAATATATGTGCATATATGTAAATTTATTCGATTTATAGGTTACATATAGTATGCATATATATATAAAGGTGTATATTTTTATCTATTAATATTTGTTAATTTTTTGTCCTGGCGATTGTTTATTACGTCTCTACTTTTATTTTATTGGATTTTGTTATGAAATATGTATGCATATGTGTATATGTAGTCAGTTCATATGTCACATATAGTATGCATATATATGTATATAGAGGTATATGATACTGGATAATAGTGTGATATTAATAGAAAATGCTTTGTTAATGCTTAATTATAAAAGAGAAGTCGATGTATTAATTTGGTTTGCATTCATGCGAGCGCGAATTTAGATCTTCCCTCTGCCTTTAGGTCGGGAGAGGATGTTTAAAAATTCCAATGGAGATAACGCGACGTGCTGGACTTGGCCTTGCACGCTTGTTCGACTCGTAGAGTTATACGCATAATATTCTTTGTGCAGTATTATTCGTAAGTACACATATTATTTCTCTATTTCTCTCGTGTTTTCACGTTTTATTTCCTTTGACTTAATGATATATGTATATTATGCATGGTAAGAAGTTGCTGTCATTATATTCATTGTTGTAATTTTTTATTTTTATTTAATAAAGTTTTTGAATTTAGATTCTATTTTTCGAGTGTCATTTTGCACATTATGTACCTGGGCTCTATTCATTTCTCGGAAGGTTTTAGTCTTACATTATTAAATTTGCATATGTTCATATGCACGTACATATATATATATATATATATATATATATATACGTATAAGAGTGCTCATATGTAAATGTTCGTGCATTTTACAATTGTGTATATACATTTTATATTCATAGTAGCTATAGGTGTCCATCCTTAATATTATTATTTTATTTATTCAGGCGATACTTTTGCCAGGGGGGTACCCGGTGAGTAGGAACACGAATATAAGGTGTCCATATATTTTCGTCATATGAAGACTTACTAGTAAGTAATATTCTGACATAATTATACTTAATAAGGTTTGGTATTATGAAATTTTGTCATTAAAGTACTTGAAAAAGGGGGATTATTATAGTTGAAAACTTTTATATGAAATGTTAATATTTTATAAGGTTTGGTACATGCATTCATATATAGAAGAGTGTGATCGTAAATGTTCATGGTTGATTTTTGATGATGTTCATTGGCCTTATTCTGATTTTTTAATTATTTTAATCTAAATTTTATATTATTTTGTTCATTTATGCTAGTTGGTTTTTCTTTCTTTTCATTGGCTCATGTGTATATGCCTTAAGCATATAGATGCTATCCATTTTGTTATACTTAATGCTTTGCAAATTTTTATAAAATATTGACAGCCTCGTGTTAGAAATTATTATTCTTATGACCAAATATTATTTTACATTAATTTTTCAGGCATCCAGGAGGGGGGTCATGTGACTTCGTCATATAAGGTATTCTTATTTGATTTTCAGGTAAGATCACTTTAAATTATTATTTGTGTTATGGCCGCTAGTATTTGGTTAAATTTCGTTATTAGCTTATTATAAGTGAATATTTTATTTGTTAAGGTCTTATTATTCATTTATTATTGGTTATAAGAGTGGATGCATATATATATATATACATATATATATATATATATTCATATGTATAATTGTTAGAATTATTTTGTAGAATTTGAAGCTAGATTTTACTACCAAAATTTTGTTTCTGAAATTTTCTTATCGTTAATATTTTTATTAATTTATGGTCTAAGAACATATATTCATTTTTATTTGTTTTTAGGTGTCAACAGGTTTAGCAAGAAAAACAAGCAGTGCTGAATTAAAATGTTGATGGTCAAGGATATATTATTATTTCTAAGGGTAAGTCTTATTAAAATTTATGCAAATTCATTATTGTTATTATTATTATTTATTTGCATTTAAGCAATTTCAATTTTAATCATAGAGAATTATTAGTACCATATAATTTATTAGTTTTATCAATTGTTAAATTTTGGTTATTATCTTACGTTTTTATTTATAATTTTGTCTTTACAAGTTTCATAGGATATTTATTAAATATTCATTGTTAGTTGGGGATTAATATATATATATTTTGTAATTATTCAATGGCACTTAAATTATATTATTATAAAATATTTTAACATTTATTATCCTTGTATTTGTCATGTTATCCTTGTGACGATATTAAGTCGGATACTAGTAATTTTGATTTTAATGATATTATTTAGAGGGAGAGTTCGTTTGATATTTATACGATTTTGTTTTGTATTTCGATTATTAGTATCGCGATATTATTTAGTGCATAGCTATTATTTATTTGGTTTTATGATTTATAGGTTATACTGGGAGCAGTATATCGATGGTCAATGGAAAATAAAATATTATCGTCGTGAGGGGTTACATCTATATACCCAATATGTTGGAATTATTAT